GGTCAGGGAGGGGCGAGGGGCTGAGCTGGTCCCACACCCCGCAGGGGGTGCTCAAGGGGACAAGGGGACAGGGTCCTCACCGGGCAGGGAGGTGATGTTGCCCTCGTAGCAGGTACCCGAGTCCCAGGTGGTGAGCTCCAGCGCGACCGCGAGCTCGTCGGGGTGCCACCCCTCCAGCTTGTAGAGCAGGGTCAGGAAGAGCTTGGGGGGTGCCGGCATCTGCAAAGAGAAAAGGCTGATGACCCCAAATCCACCCAGAGAGAGACAGAGAGAGAGAGAGGAGAGAAAGAGAAGATGCATCAGGTTAGGTTTGCTGGGCAGTGCGGGCAGAGAGCCCCGCGGGACGCTCACCACGAGGCCCGGGGGCCGCACAGCTCCGCCTGGGCGACGTGGGCTGTGCCGTGCCAGCACGGTGCCAGCACGGTGCTGAGGAGGTGGCAAGGGGGCTTCTCCCCCAACTCACCGGATGGCCACGCGCTCCTCGCCGGGGGGGATGGTCCCCTCCACCCTCAGGGAGCTGCCCCCGCACCAGGCGTCCTGCAGGCAGCAGCTGGTGCTCAGCCTGCCCTCGCGCTCCGGGTAGAGGGGTTGGATCTCCTGCGCGCTCAGGTCATACCAGGGCCCGGCCTCTTCCTCCTGCAGGATGGGGTGAGCTGGGCTGTGCGGGGAGCCGCGAGAAGGGACCCCCCTGCCCGGCCGGAGCCGAGCCATCACCGCGCACCAACCTTCCCATCCAGGAACCTGCTGGTGCCCATGCCCAGGCTGAAGGTGGTGGCAAGGGGCAGCGTGCAGATGCTGTGCGTGGGCAGGTACTCAGCCAGCGAGCCCCAGAACCTGGAGGAAAGGGCGAGTGTCCGAGCAGAGACCCCCTGCTACGGCCGCTGCCCCATCATGGCATCGAGCGTCGCCCCAGCTGGGGCAGAGAGGGGCCAGCCTGGTCCCGGTGGGCAGCCAGGGTCTCCCGGCAGCCCTGTCCCACCGCCCCACAGCCCTCCTGACCCAGGGTGCTCCTGGACCCATCTCCCCACCACGGCCCCCACCCCGCCACGCCACCCTCACTTGTTCTCGTTGTGCAGGAAGTTTTCCTCCCCCAGGTGCTCGTAGACCCAGCCGGGAGCGAAGATGGCCGCGGAGAGGCCGTGCCGGCGGATCAGGCGCAGGGACTGCAGAGAGGAGCAGTGAGCAGCACGGGCCAGGCCAGGCAGTCACCTTGTCACCTGCCCTGTCCCCACTCCCCCAAGTCCCACTGGCTCCGTGGTGGGGCAGGACAACACCACAGGGATGTGCTGTGGCATCTCCCTCTCCAGGGACTGCAGCACCGGCACCCCCCAGCTCCCTCTCCATGCATGGCTGGCAGCTCAGCAGCTTGGAGTTCCCCCACTCCTCACCGCTGCATCCCTGGGTTAGCAGCACAGCACAGCACAGCACGGCACGGCACAGCCATCGGTGGGAGCTCAGAGCCCCGTGCCGGGGGGAGGCCCTGGGCCTCTCTGTGGCCCGGCCTCGGCACACCCACCTTATCAGTGTCGAAGCCACCAACGATCACATCCCCGCGGGCAAAGACGTCAATGCCGACATAGATGTCGGTGTGGCGCGGCCCGGCCAGCCCACGCGTGCGCTCCAGGTGCTCCTCCTTCCAGTTGTAGTTGGTGAACAGCCCGTCGCAAGCATCAAAGAACACCCTGGGGACGAGGGTCGGGGTGGCAGGGTGGGCGCTGCGACTGTCCCCGCAGACACCCGCACCGAGGGCTGCGCAGGCCATGCCCTGACCACCCCCGAGCACTGGGTTTGGGGCGGGCCATGCCCTGCACCCGGCGCCAGTTTTGCCTGGGCAAGGTGGCAGGGCAAGCAGGGCCCGGCCTCACCTATTGTCCTCGCTCAGCTCGTTCTGCCATCTCAGCGCGCCGTTCTGCAGGACGCTGTCGTACCAGATCACCAGCCCCCCCGGCACGGCGCTGTGCACCTGCGCCGTCAAGTGCCGCAGGAAGAGGGGCAGGTTCGCCACCGCCGCCGCCTGGCGGGTTTTTTTTTCGAGGGGCCATGCGCCTGATCAGCGCGAGGGCAGGGGAGGGGGCAGAGGGGCGGGCAGGGCGCCATCGCAGCTCACGCTCAGTGTGTTCTCTATGTTGACCAGCCAGCCATCGAAGCGGTAGTGCTGGGCGATGCGGGCCAGCTGCTCGCTCACGGCACGGTACGCCTCCGCCCCGCCGGCCAGGAACGCCTCGCACAGCTTCTCCCCGTCCGTCCACTCGGTGATGAATGTACCTGGGGAGACAGCGAGAGCACTGTCGGTCACACATCGCGGCAAACCCACCGCACCCCTGGGGCTCCCCTGGGCCTGGTCCTGCAAGAGCCAGCCCTGCAGCCGGCCCTGCCCTCACCCAGCACAGGGACGCCGTTCCTGTGCGCCGCGTTGGTCCAGCACACGGGCGGGATGGTGACGGTGTGGTGGCTGAAGTAGACGAAGATGTCGATATACCGCCAGTGGTAGAAGACGTAGGGGTTGCGTGTGGCTGAGCCCTGGATGAACCTGCAGCGGCAGAGAGGGCAGAGGGTTGGGCAAGGCGAGAAGGACGCCGGCAGACGGCTGCGGGGCTGGGCAGGAGCCTGACTCACGGCCTGGGAGCTGGCAGAGCTGTGACGCTGAGCCATAGAATCATAGAATCATGGAATAGTTTTGGTTGGAAGGGATCTTTAAAGCTAATCTAGTTCAACATCTGGTCATGAGCAGGGACATCTTCATCTAGACCAGGTTGCTCAGAGCCCCGTCCAACCTGGCCTGGAATGTTCCCAGGGATGAGGCATCCACCACCTCTCTGGGCAACCTGGGGCAGTGTCTCACCACCCTCAGTGTAAAACATTTCTTCCTCATATCTAGTCTGAATCCCCCCTCTTTCAGTTTACAGCCATCATCACATGTCCTGTTACAACAGGCCCCACTAAAAAGTCTGTCCCCATCTTTCCTGTGGCCCCTTTAGGTACTAGAAGGCGGCAATAAGGTCTCCCTGGAGCCTTCTCTTCTCCAGGCTGAACCCCCCCAACTCTCCCAGCCTGTCCTCCCAGCAGAGGGGCTCCAGCCCTCCCAGCATCTCCGTGCCCTCCTCTGGCCCCGCTCCAACAGCTCCGTCTCCTTCTGCTGGTGGGACCCCCCGAGCTGGAGGCAGCACTGCAGGGGGGGCCCCCCAGAGCAGAGCGCAGCAGAGGGGCACAATCCCCCCTCGCCCCGCTGGCCACGCTGCTGGGGATGCAGCCCGGGATGCCGGGGGCTTTCTGGGCTGTTGCCCGCTCATGTCCAGCTTTTCATCCCCCAGCACCCACAAGCCCATCTCAGCAGGGCTGCTCTCCGTCCCTCCATCCCCAGCCTGTATTGATACTGAGGGTTGCCCTGACCCAGAAGCAGGACCCTGCGCTTGGCCTTGCTGAACCTCATGAGGGTCACATGGGCCCGCTCCTCGAGCCCGTCCAGGTCCCTCTGGATGGCATCCTGTCCCTCAGGTGTGTCAACTGCACCACTCAGCTTGGTGTCATCTGCAAACTTGCTGAGGGTGCCCTCGATCCCACTGTCCATGTCATTGATGAAGATATTGAACAGTTGCAGTCCCAATACGGACCCCTGAGGGACACCCCCACAGACCCCATTACAGATGGCTCAAGCAAGGTTGCTGCGTGCCAGAGCCAAGAACCAAACCCCTCCACCCCTGCCCGCCCGCAGCCCCTCAGCCGGAAACAAACCAAGTGGCAAGAGAAGAGGTTTGGGGTTTGAGAGGTTGAACCCCACTGCCACATCTCCTCTCCGCCCAGCACGTACCTGTCTTCCAGGTATCCGCCACGCATGTCATGGCACACCAATGTCCGGGGCCTCTTGCTGTGGAGCGGGGGCTGGCGCTTGGCCAGCGGCACGGCGGAGATGTTGAAGTCGTCGTTGCCATCGGGCTGCCAGGCCAGCAGCTCCTCTAGCCCGGACAAGAAGAAGCTGATGGGCTCTGTCGTGCTGGTGTCGAAGTGCCTCGCTGGGGCAGGCGGGGAGATGGGACACGGGGTCAGCGGGGAGCACTGCCCGTGTGCCCGGGCACCGGCACCGTGCCGGTGGGGACGCAGCGGGCGCGCTCCCCGCGGTGCTCA